CGATGAATCACCGTTACACGATGAGTCACCGTTACACGATGAATCACCGTTACACGATGAGTCACCGTTACACGATGAATCACCGTTACACGATGAGTCACCGTTACACGATGAGTCACCGTTACACGATGAATCACCGTTACACGATGAGTCACCGTTACACGATGAATCACCGTTACACGATGAATCACCGTTACACGATGAGTCACCGTTACACGATGAATCACCGTTACACGATGAGTCACCGTTACACGATGAATCACCGTTACACGATGAATCACCGTTACACGATGAGTCACCGTTACACGATGAGTCACCGTTACACGATGAATCACCGTTACACGATGAGTCACCGTTACACGATGAGTCACCGTTACACGTGAATCACCGTTACACGATGAGTCACCGTTACACGATGAATCACCGTTACACGATGAATCACCGTTACACGATGAATCACCGTTACACGATTTGTCACCGTTACACGATGAGTCACCGTTACACGATGAATCACCGTTACACGATGAGTCACCGTTACACGTGAATCACCGTTACACGATGAGTCACCGTTACACGATGAATCACCGTTACACGATGAGTCACCGTTACACGATGAATCACCGTTACACGATGAGTCACCGTTACACGATGAATCACCGTTACACGATGAGTCACCGTTACACGATGAATCACCGTTACACGATGAATCACCGTTACACGATGAGTCACCGTTAACGATGAGTCACCGTTACACGATGAGTCACCGTTACACGATGAATCACCGTTACACGATGAATCACCGTTACACGATGAGTCACCGTTACACGATGAATCACCGTTACACGATGAATCACCGTTACACGATGAGTCACCGTTACACGATGAATCACCGTTACACGATGAGTCACCGTTACACGATGAATCACCGTTACACGATGAGTCACCGTTACACGATGAGTCACCGTTACACGATGAATCACCGTTACACGATGAGTCACCGTTACACGATGAGTCACCGTTACACGATGAATCACCGTTACACGATGAATCACCGTTACACGATGAGTCACCGTTACACGATGAATCACCGTTACACGATGAGTCACCGTTACACGATGAATCACCGTTACACGATGAATCACCGTTACACGATGAGTCACCGTTACACGATGAGTCACCGTTACACGATGAGTCACCGTTACACGATGAATCACCGTTACACGATGAGTCACCGTTACACGATGAATCACCGTTACACGATGAATCACCGTTACACGATGAGTCACCGTTACACGATGAATCACCGTTACACGATGAGTCACCGTTACACGATGAATCACCGTTACACGATGAATCACCGTTACACGATGAGTCACCGTTACACGATGAGTCACCGTTACACGATGAATCACCGTTACACGATGAGTCACCGTTACACGATGAGTCACCGTTACACGTGAATCACCGTTACACGATGAGTCACCGTTACACGATGAATCACCGTTACACGATGAATCACCGTTACACGATGAATCACCGTTACACGATTTGTCACCGTTACACGATGAGTCACCGTTACACGATGAATCACCGTTACACGATGAGTCACCGTTACACGTGAATCACCGTTACACGATGAGTCACCGTTACACGATGAGTCACCGTTACACGATGAATCACCGTTACACGATGAATCACCGTTACACGATGAGTCACCGTTACACGATGAATCACCGTTACACGATGAGTCACCGTTACACGATGAATCACCGTTACACGATGAATCACCGTTACACGATGAGTCACCGTTACACGATGAGTCACCGTTACACGATGAGTCACCGTTACACGATGAATCACCGTTACACGATGAATCACCGTTACACGATGAGTCACCGTTACACGATGAATCACCGTTACACGATGAATCACCGTTACACGATGAGTCACCGTTACACGATGAATCACCGTTACACGATGAGTCACCGTTACACGATGAATCACCGTTACACGATGAGTCACCGTTACACGATGAGTCACCGTTACACGATGAATCACCGTTACACGATGAGTCACCGTTACACGATGAGTCACCGTTACACGATGAATCACCGTTACACGATGAGTCACCGTTACACGATGAATCACCGTTACACGATGAGTCACCGTTACACGATGAATCACCGTTACACGATGAATCACCGTTACACGATGAGTCACCGTTACACGATGAGTCACCGTTACACGATGAGTCACCGTTACACGATGAATCACCGTTACACGATGAATCACCGTTACACGATGAGTCACCGTTACACGATGAATCACCGTTACACGATGAGTCACCGTTACACGATGAATCACCGTTACACGATGAGTCACCGTTACACGATGAATCACCGTTACACGATGAGTCACCGTTACACGATGAGTCACCGTTCACGATGAATCACCGAACACGACTCAAATTTATTTTCCAAATCAGCAAATTCATTTTGAGCATTTCCAAGTTGTTCATTTAATTTTGAATTAATTACTTCAATTTGTTTACATATATTTTGTTTCCAACTCTGCCGATTTAATTTTATATTTAGAGATATTTCTTCCAAATTTTCTTTTTGATTTTGTGACGAAAATATTTGAAAATTTGAGTTATTTGAAGAAAATAAATTATTTGAAGAATTGTTTAGAATTGAGGAAAAAGGTATTGGTGAAAGACGATCAAAATTATCCAAATGTTTTAACTAAAAAATAAAAAAAATAGTTTATAAACAAAAAAATAGCAATGGAAGAATTTTATCCGTAAAAATGTTGTGGACAGAAATTTTGTTTAGGAAAAAACATATCAATTAAATTTGCGGACAAAAAAAAACTCGTTTCATCCCTGGACGATTCCCCTATCCCAAGGGTCAACCTGATTTTAAAAACTGTATTTACAATAGAGGCCCTCTACTATACACAAATAGGTAATGTAGTAGAAAATTTGTAAAATTTATTTTTGTAAAAATTTATTTAAAATTAAAGGTAAAATATAGAATAAAATAAATTAATAATTTTTCAAAATCTCAGTTTTGCAAATAAGTTATTTCTAAAGTAAATTCAATAAACCACAAAAACCAGAAAATAAGAGCTATAGATACACAAAATATTGAGATCCATTTACTTAAAAAAGAATTTTATGATGATATAAATGAGAGATTTTATAATGAGATATTTAAAAAGTACAAGACGGGTTGGGTACACATTGGTTTTTAAAAAAAGCCATCCCCTTATACTCACTTAAGGAAGTCCGCCAACTATAAATCTGACCATAGGTATTTAGGACAGCGTGTTGTCAAGTCCCTTACAAATTGATATCCCCTTATACTCACTTGAGGGAAAGAGGGTCTTCCGAAAAAAAATACTTAGCGAAAAAACAAAAACTTGGTTTTTTGTGTAGTTTACCGCCCATCCCCTACTTGAAGGGTCCCTCTATCCCTCCTTACTCCAGAAGTCCGTCCATTAAAAAATTGACTGTAGGCTGAAAAAAAAGAGGGGGAATCTACAGATCAAATTAGAGCATTGAGGGAACACGAGGGTGTTTAGGACGGTATTCTATCCAGCTGCGTTTTGTCCCCTACCACACCTTTTACTCAATGCGAAATCCACCCAAATTAAATAACAGATTAATTAAAGTTGTTTAAAAAATTTTTTTAAATTAAAATTTTAAACTCACAACTTTTTAAATAATGTAGAAGAGAAAGGTTTCTGTTGTTGTTGCTGTACATGTAAATTATTATAATCAGAAATATATTGAGCTGCCTCTAATCTTTTTATTGTATTTTTGAGTTGAGAATTTTCTTCTAAAAAAATTTTTTTAATATAAAAAAGACGACGACTGAATAAAAGAAAGGCTTTTAAAGCCAATACCTAACAGTTGGGTTTCTAGGGAAATTTTTTTAGTTAAAAAATTTTTTTCTGTGTAGTTTACCCCCCTTTCTCGAATAAAAGTGTCTTTCGTGGAGGTCTACCTTTATTCCCCCTTTATTCACTTGAAGAAGTCTTTACTTCAATGTGTGACCGTTTTGATTTGCTGACAGCTGTAGAGAGACACCAACCAGACACAGTCTTCTAGGGGGTGGGGGGTAAACTGCACAATAGTAAATTTTAAACTAAGAACTTAAAAAATTATTATTTCTATCACTTTCTAAAAGAGAGTCACCTCCCAAAAGAATTTGCCTCACAGGTGTAGGAGGGACACCACCCTAACACAGCCTTCAAGTAGGTGGTGGGGGGTAAACTACACAAAAAATCTTTTTACCTAAAAATTAAAAAAATTTTTTTTATCACAGTCCTCCCCCCTTTCTAAAAGAATTTCCCCCAAAAAAATAAAAAAAAAACCTTCAATATTTTTATTTTTTTCAACAAATAAAGCTTCTTTTTGTTGCATTTTTTTCAATTCATTTTGAGTAGATTCACATTCTTGTTTAAATCTTTCAATTTCTTTTGCTTTTTCCAAAATATTTTTTGATTGACAATTATTTAATTCTTCCAATTCTTTTTTTTCATATTGAAGCAATTCTAAACGAGTATTTAATTTTGCAAAGTCATCACTTTGGGAAGTCATTTGGTGGTCAAATAAAACGTTACTAAAATTGCTGAATAAAAATTTTTTAAAATTAATCCCTCTAAAAGAGGTGATAGAGAAGAGCAATGGCGCGTAGCCAGGAGATCAATTTCGAGGAGGGTAAACGCCAAAAATTTTGGCGTTCCAACGCCTGTTCTTCTGTACGTATATTTTTACTCTTCAGCGCCGCAGGCGAAAACCTTGAGAATTTGGAAAGCCAAGAGCCAAAATTTTTCAATTTCTAAAAATTTTGAGACAATTCATGGGGTTATAGGCAAAAAGAATAAACTTTCTTGATTATTTCCCTCCCAGAATTTTTTCATTATGTACCAATTTCGGGGAGAGAAGGGGGAAGGGTTTCCTGCTAGCTACGCTCCATATAGTTCTCCCACAATTATTTTTTAACAAAAAAAATTTTTTTAATAAAAAACCTATGATTTTCTGTAATTTTACAAGAATTCAAATCATCATGAAGAGAAATAGAATTATCTGAATCTGAAAAAAAATAAAAAAAATTTATTAAACCAAAAAATTAAAAAAAACCATTTTGAAAAGTTGTGTTATTTTGAAGGTTAATAGAATTGTTGTGTAGTCCTTTATATTTAATTAATTCTTTTTCTGCCTAAATTAATGAAAAAAATTAATTTTTTTAATCAAAAAAATTTTATCCGCATTTTCAACTAAATGTCCGCATTTTTAAAGAATGTCCGCAAAAAAATTTGCGGATGTCCGCAAAAAATTTTTTCGTCCGCAAAAAAATTTGCGGACAAAGAAAATAGAAAATTTTAAGTTTTCGCTCTATTTCTTTTAAAAAAATAAATTTTTCTTACAAAATTAGCTCTATCCAAAGCTTGTTCAAGACCACTCATTAATTCCTCAATTGTCCCCTGTTGATTAGCTATTTGTTGTTCCATAAATTTCAATTTATTTTCAGAGGAGTCCTTTTCTGTTATTTGTTTAACTAAAGCATCTAATCTGTAAAAGATAAGAAATTTTAATAGAAATTGAAATATTTTATTCTTGCGGACTAAAGAAAAATGACCGCAAAAAAGTTGCGGACAATATGAAATGTCCGCAAAAAAGTTGCGGACAAAATTGAAAACTAGTATAAGGGTGAGATCAGTGTGAACAATGAAATAGGAAGCCCAGTGGGGATTGAAGACAGGAAGGAATGAACTAACTAGCCTTTGAGAAATTCCACAATTTAGCAACACTTGGCTAATTAAAAATTAAAAAAATAAAATTAAACCTAATATAAAGTAATCCAACTTCTTCTTCCTTCGATTTTAAATCTTGTGCTGATTTTTGAAGGGCACGGGAATGAGTTTCCTTTAAAGACTTTAATTCTTTTTGTAATTCAGAATTTGTATAACGTGAAGTCTCCAATTCGTCTGTAATTTCTCTTAATTGAATATTTAAAAGTTCAATAGATCCTTGCTGAAAAAAATTTTTTAGTCCGCAAAAAATTTGCGGACAATCCGCAAAAAATATGCAGAAAGAAAATAAAAATTTTAGTCCGCAAAAATTTTTGCGGACAATCCGAAAAAAAATTTGCGGACAAAAAAATTTGCGGAATAATTAAAAATCCATACAAAAACCCGACCCAATTCCCCCACCCCACTCTTCCCTGTCACACAAACCTTTTCATTATCAGCCTGTCTCAACCTCTCAAATTTATTCTCCAAATCAGCAAATTCATTTTGAGCATTTCCAAGTTGTTCATTTAATTTTGAATTAATTACTTCAATTTGTTTATATTTTGTTTCCAACTCTGCCGATTTAATTTTATATGTTGATATTTCTTCCAAATTTTCTTTTTGATTTTGTGATGAAAATATTTGAAAATTTGAATTATTTAAAGAAAATAAATTATTTGAGGAAGAATTGTTTAGAATTGAGGCAAAAGGTAGTGGTGAAATACAATCAAAATTATCCAAATGTTTTAACTTAAAAATAAAAAAAAATAGTTTATAAACAAAAAAACTAGCAATGCAATAATCTAGTCCGTAAAAAATTGCGGACGAAGAACTTTGTCCGCAAAAAAGTTGCAGACAAAAATGGTGTCCGCAAAAAACTGCGGATAAAAAATTTTATCCGCAAAAAAAGTTGCGGACAAAAATGTTATCCGCAAAAATGTTGCGGATAGAAATTTTGTTTGGAAAAAAGTTGCGGACAAAACATAACAATTGCATTTGCGGACTGAATTTTCGCTTATTCAGAAATTAAAAGAAATAAAAATCCGCAAGTTTTGTCCTCAAATGTATTTTAAAAAATTATCTAACACACAGAAAAATCTTGGAGAAAAATTTGCGGACAAAACATGGACAAAAAAATTCAAAAAAAATTTTAAAAATTAAATATACCAAATTTCTAATCCCAGCAGAATTTTTTCCATCCAATTTTTCACATATTTGATCAAATTTAGCCCTCTGATTTTTATATAAAATAAATAAAAGGGCAAATATTATATTAGCAATTTCTTGTTTATCTCCATTATCCGCATTTTCAGGCTTCAAAAGTTCCACAGACTTGCTTCCCAATTCTTTTTTAATAAATTCAACGGCATCTTTAAATTTAAAGTCAAAATCACTTTTGAAGGTTAATTCACCAGTTTGGCTGAAAATTGAAAAAAATTTCTTTGGTTCTCGTCCGCAAGTTTCGTCCGCAAGTTTTGTCCGCAAATTTTGTCCGCAAGTTTTTTTTTGATTCAGCAGAACATGATTTTTTAAAAATAGGTTTGTCAGATTGTTGGGAAGCGTATAATAAAGTTTGTAGGAATATAAGAAGCTAAGATTTTCAGATCAAAGAAATCATAAGACTTGCAGACAAAACTTGCGGACATTTTAAAAGTAAAGGGAAAAGAACCAAGTTATGGGAATTTTATTCAAAAATTGTGCTAGATTGGTGGGAAAACTACTTATAATATGGTTCAAAGGAGTAAAAAGGGGTGAAAATCCCCTGCTGAAACATTATAAGATTTGCGGACAAAATTTGCGGACTTTCAGAAAACTTGCGGATTTTGGAATTTTTTCCCAGAAAAAATCTTTTACTTAAACTCACATCATTTTAATAAGAATAGGCAACAAACAAAGGACTTCATCAAAAGAAAAAATTTCTTCAATTTGTAATTCCGATGTGAGAAGATTTATCTATTTAAAATTGAAAAGGAAATTTCTTTAAAAATTAAAAAATACAAATGCCAAAATAATTCCATCCGCATCATTTTCCATAATTTTTTGTTAATTAATTTTAAAGGGAAGGTTAAACTCTAAAAGAAAATTGGAAACAAAATTAAAACAAAAAATAAAAATAAAAAATAAATAGCGCGCCTAGTTAATTAGAGATAACGTAAAAATGAGAGACGGTTAGAGAAAAGAAAAATAAATAAACATTTCGCCAAATTAATTAAATAAAAGTTTGGCAATAATTTTTAAATTTGAAAATTAGTTTAATTTTAGATTGCTTATTGTTTCGATTTAATCGAGCTGAGAATTTTTGAAAAAAATTTTTTTTTCCCAAAAAATTTTTCCTAAAATTTGGAATTTTTTTTGGATTTTTTTTGGATTGAGAAAATGCCCGTTCCTGACAATAAATGTTGTTAAATAAATTTATGCAGTTTAAAAATAAAAAATTACAATGTTTTTAGAAAGTTTTTTTGAGGTGGGGTACAAGGCAAACTTCTCTAACTCGACACCCTTTTGACCAAAGAAATAAAGATGACAACTGAGATGGAGTTAATCGGGCTAAATACTAGTGATGCTCGGGTATCCCGACTCCAGACTTGGGAAAATTTCCCGAGTTTTTAGCCTCCCGATCTCGACTCCCGAAGTCATTTACCGACCCGACTCCTGTTTCCCGATTCCCGGATTTTTTCTTCTCCCGAGCATCACCACTAAACACCCTATTTGTATCGAAATGAGTTGATGAATGAAGATGGGTATATGTAAAAGGTGATATGTGAGGGTGACATCTGAAGGATGCCATGTTAGAGAGGTGTAATTGTTAGTGTACTTGTTAGGGAAGTCGAATTTTTAGAGAAGAGTCTCATATTTTAAAATAAAAATAAAAATGAAGTTTGCAGTAAAATGACGAACATATCCAAGTGTATAGGGTTAAAACTGAAGATAAGGATAACACAGCGGCGGCCTTTATCTTCCATGTTTTATCCCTAATCAGGTTCCATATACATAGTTTGTATGGGTTAAAAATAAAATTTTTTATAGAGGCAATTCTTCTCTTTCTTCTTCTTCTTTAAGAAGAAAATTTATTTCATTCTTCTCCGTCTTCTGATCCTTCTTCTGTAATCGTCACCAATTTTGAATTTAAATTTTCTCCCTTAGGTGAAGGTTGTGAGGTATCAGTTGGAGGTTGTGAGGTCTCTGTTGGAGGTTTTTTCAAACAGTTCCAGGATGATTTTTTAGTACTTTTCTTTACGCTAGCCTTCTTAACAGGATTTTCTCCATCTTCGGACAACCAATCTTCTAATTTCAACGAATTCAGGTCAGTCCCCTCATCAAAATCCTTGTCAATTTTGATTACAAAATTGCCATATCTGTAGGGTACCTCTGCTGAATTTAATACTTCTCTTGCTTTGGGCAATATATCAAGTTTACAATACAAGTCCAAAATTTTTTGATTCTGCTTTAGTACATGCTCCAGTTTCATTTTTTGAGCCCGCGGTTGATTCAGCTGTTTATTCAGTTTTATATCTTCAAGAAATTCGTGTTTTATGATTGCGCAAAATTGAATAACTTGTAAAAATGCATGGACCTCGTCCAATCCATCCACCTTAAAAAAGTTATTTTAGACAGTAGCAAGCAGTTAGTCTCATTCCCAGACAGCGAACAAAGGTTATCCTCCAAGTGATTTAAGGATACAGGTCCTATCGGTTCAACAGGTTCCTTTCTGTAGGTTCTATCGCATCTGATTGCCCGGGAATGTATTTAAATTTTAAAATTTACCAGATAATTAGCCTTCAAAGACTCAAGATAATGGTTAGTATTAATCTTGTAAAAGTGATCTAACAATATTTCTGTCCCGATTTTTTTATCTCTGAATTTTGCTCTGTCGTCCTTCGTTTTTAATCCTTTAATAATGTTATCAGTATCCGTCAAAAGTCGCTTAGATTCAACCAAGGTGTTGATTAATTTTTCTTTTCTTTCGTCATCATCTAATAGAATCCTGGCTCTTATAATATTATTTGCATAATTTTTATTCTCTATGCAAATTTTGTTCAAGGAACTAAAATATTTCGGAACTATATTTTTATCCTTACGCTTCAATAATTTGATCAAGTGTTTCTTTTTTTCGTCGGAAATTCCTTAACATTAATATTATTTTTTTGGATCAGTCTTAAATACCCCCCTTGGGCTGAAAAATAGGATTTAAGATAAGTCTGGAATATTAAGAGGTCTGAAATATTTTGTCAGGCTCTCTTTAAATGAAGTTGGCCTATCGGAATGGAACGAACTCTCGTTAATGGATCAATGCCAAAATTATCATCATAGGTCTAAAAAGCAGAATTGGTTATGTATCGTCATAAATTTTTAACGATATGCTACTTTGATCCATCTGTGCATTTTTGAGGCAGGAAAAAGCAACGGGGAATGAATATTAAAAGGTAACGCAAGGCTAACACAATCTTTACTCCTTACCACATGCATTCTCTTCGTCCTTTGGGATAGCAAAATAGCCAAATTTGTAACTTATCTTTGCAGAATTTAACACATTTTTTGCATTAGGCACTACATCATTGTTACAAAAAAAGTTCATTAATTTTTGTATGTTTTTGTCGGATTCTAATTCAACATTGATAGTTACACAAAATTGAAGGACCAATAAAAATTTGTAGACGATTTTAAATTCAAGCATCTTTGAATAAGTTTTTATAGAAAAATTAGGGTACTTAGTTGATACTTATTTATTGCCAGATCAAGTGCTAGATCACCGAGTAATTTCTCTCAAAATTCTGTCAACCACTCGCTTTAAGAGAACCCTTTAAAAGCGGAAGACAGATGGTGGAGGAAAACGGACGAAAAATAAAAAATGGAAGACAACGTGGAAGAAGTCCCAGCAATGATCCACATCTATGATCCACACAGTATTCATCAGGGTAACAATATATCTGCTACTATTTTGGAAGAAACACCAATTTAGACCACACTTACAGACTGGAACTGGTGCCCTGATACAATAAACTAATACCATAACCCATACTCCTAGACTAAACCCCCAAAAAACATGATGGTCCGGAAGCTAAATTTTTGATAAACACTTACAATTTCATTTGTAAATTCCAACTTTAATTTTCCTGTTTTCCACACTCCCATCAAAATTTTCCTCGAATTTTTAAAAATTTCTTTCCATTTAATCAAAGTTTCAGTTAATTTATTCTTTGTTCTAAACAATAACAAATAATCGTTCACTAAATCTCCCATTCCCTTTTTATTTTCATCACACAATTCTTTAAAGCGTTGAAAATACCCCAAGCGATCTACTTTGTGCGATATTTTGAGCTCTTTGTTTTTCATAATAATTACTTGTTCAAGTAATTTACAAGCTTAATATTAAAAATATTATTATAGTGTTATTCAGTCTGAACATATATTTCAGTTCTTTTTTAGGGAATACTTTAGATAGGGACCAAATTCTTTTTTCATTTATGACCAGCCCTGATCGGGACCAGAGATATACTGTGGATTCTCCCCCCTGCCCGTCTGTGGGGAGAGAATCTCCTCTACCCGCTCATGCTTTTATTTTAAAAATTAAAAAATACTCTCACCACACGGATTCATTTCAATTAACTCAGGTGTGCCTAAAAATGAATAATGTTAATGCTAGAGATCAGACCAAGACGAGATCTCAAAAAATTTTTGGTTATCTAATATTTTTTGAGATACGATCTCGATTCTTGTACAACAACCCACCCTCGATATTAGTGATGGGTTTTTAAGAATCTTTGGGGTTTTCGGACGATTTTTTGACATATCTGATTAAAATTTAAGAACCGATATAAAGTGGCGACATTTTAAGTTGAGGGTCCTTTGGCTTACTTTTTTGGAGTTTTTTTATTTGCAAAAAGGGTTTAACTTGTGAGATCGAGATTGTTTTCCCGAAAAGTGACATTACATATTATGTAAATAATACTCACCACATGGGTCCGTTTTGTCAATTATAACGGGGGGCGGTATCTCTTCTTGAATCTCTTCCTCAGTTATTTCATGTCTCGTTTCGTGAATCATGCTGGTTGAAGGGTTCTCTTCTTGAATCTCTTCTTCCTCAGTTATTTCAGAAGTCGGTACCTGTCTTTTAATCTCTTCTTTAATTAAATGGGGGGACGGGCTCTCTTCTTTAATATCCTTCTTCTCCTCATTCGGTTCTTGAATTTCAGGTCCTTGTTCTTCAATCTCTTCTTCAGTTAAATCATGAGACAAGCTCTCTTCCACGATCTTTTCAACATTACGATCGGGGGATGCATCTAAAAAATAATTTCAACTCTGCGACTATTATCCTCGACCCGTCAGTGTCAATAGGAGGCACTGACGGGTCTAGTGTCGAGAGTATTTAAGCTTATTATCCTTTTATCCACTCTTATCCCTAAAAGGTTATTTTAATATTTGGATATCAGTAGATAACATGCCCACCTTTTGATTACTTCAAGGGACTAGAATGAGCGCTAATTGAATTTTCCAAAAATTAATTTAACTTACCTCTAGTCTCATCAAGAAGCTGTTGTAAGGATTTTGATTTTGCTAATTCTCCGCCTTTGGGTTTGGTAGCTGAACTGCTTTCAGTACCCTTATTAAGAAGATTTAGCATAAAGTTTTTTGAGCTTGCTAATATTCCGCTTTTGGGCTTTGTAGTTGAACCACCATAGATAATTAAAAGGTTGTCAAATAATAAAAGTAATAAAAACAAATAAAGTTTCATTGAAACTTTCAAGTTTTTCAATACCTATTGAAAAAAAATTTTTTTTAATTCCTTGCCCTAGCTTCTCCCCTCTCGCCAAATTTTAATTAATGAGGCATTGACAATGAGAGGATGCTTTAAATGGCAGTCAAGGGGGCTTCATCACAATCAAGACGATAACGTGAAGATGCATTGTGATCAGAATTAGGTCGATGTCTGTACATTGAGTGTGAGCAGATTCACATGACATTTGAAAAATTCTCTAATTCTATAGCCGATTTTTAATGTTTAAAAAATTAAAAATTTTTTAAATTTAATTTTTTACAATTTCAACTTTTATTTTATTGAGCAACAAACAACAAAAAAATAGAAAATAGCCTTACTTTTTAAAATATTTTTCTGGGTTTTTTGGAGTTAAACCGGAGAATGAAAAATACCTAGACAGCAAATCCTAAAAAATTCGCCGACGAGGTAAATCCCAATACAACCCCAATTAGGACATGTTTATTCTTGACAATAAATGTTGTTAAATAAATTTATACAATTTAAAAATATAAAAATTTACAAGTTTTAAAAAAACATTTTTGAAGTGGGATATATACAAATTTTTTAACACATTTTCCTCTGGACAAAGTTAGCTAACACATGAAGGCTAGAACTGGAGTTGTTTTCCATCTCGAAGATCGAAATATTCGAAATTGTAGCTTACGTATGAAGGAAATATGATAAATAAGAGGAGTTTATGCTTTACAAGTTTAATGTAAAAATGATTTGTGAGTAGAGACCGGACCGATACGAGATCTCGCTCGTAAATCTTGGTTATTGAGATCGAGAATTTTTTCGAGATCTCGATCGAGGTTTATTGAGATAATCTCGTTTATCAAGATTTATCAATAATTTAGAATTTTTCAAGATCTCGATTCGTACGACACTCAAAGTCCGGTCTCTAGTTCTGTGTGTGAGGTATATATCAAATAAAAAACATACCCAAGTCATATCAGAGATGTCACGGGTTAAGAAAAATGTCGGGTCGGGTTTCCAAAATTTTCTTCGGATCGGGTTTCGGGTTTTGTGTCGAAAAAAGCCGGGTATCGGGTAACCCGTGACATCCCTAAATTTTATGTAATTGAGTCAACTTGGAGATAAAATTTTAAAGAGGAAACTTTTCGTTTTCATAGTATTTACATGGTTTGAATACATAGGAAAAAATTTTGTACAAAGTCAACTTCTAACTTTTTTTAATAACGAGAAAATATGCCTCGTTTTTCTCTGATCATCTGTAATTTTGAATTTGAATTTTCTAACTTAGGTGAAGATTTCTTTCCTTTGAACAAGTTAAATTTAAATTTTTTAGTATTTTTCTTATCACCACCTTTCTCCCCAGAATTTTCATCATCTCCGATCAACCAATCTTTTAACTTTAATGAATTCAAGTTTGTCCCTTCAGCAAAATCCTTGTCAATTTTGATTACAAAATTGCCATATCTGTAAGGTATCTCTGCTGAATTTAAGACCTCTCTCGCTTTGGGCAATATATCAAGTTTACAATACAAGTCTAAAACTTGTTGATTCTGCTTTATTACTTGCTCCCGTTTCATTTTTTGATCTAGCTCTTGTTCTTGCTGTTGATTCTGTTTTATATCTTCAAAAAATTTGCTTTTTAAAGTTGCACAAAATCGAAGAACATTTAAAAACTCATAGACATCTTGTAATCCTTCCACCTTTGAAAAAACATTAAACATCTATTATAATCAAAAATCCTCCCAGTGCTTTTTATGGAACCTCCGTTACTTAGTAAAATATAGCGATGGATATTTTTCATGTAATTTTTAGAA